ACTCGCGCTTCTGCTCCCAGGACTGCCAGGAGGACTTCCTGGTGCGCTCCAGCCAGGCCCACATGAGGGCCCGCGTCCTGGCGACGGAGCGCGGCGTGTGCCAGCAGTGTGGCCTCGGAGCCCAGGAGCTGTACCAGCGTGTCCGGGACGCCCCCCCCGCCCGCCGGAAGGAGATCCTGGAGAGCAGCGGCTTGGCACAGCTGCCCCTCCGCCAGGTAGTGGCGAGGACGGGGGGGAGGAGTCCCGAGCTTGTCTCGGGCTGCTGTCAGGACACGCGGGGTGTGATTTGGAGGTTGTCACGAGTTGCAATCGCACGTTTTTATTTAGCAGTTACCGATCTGTGGGATAACGGAGACAGAAATACATCTGATAAAGTGCTGAAGAGCTATTTTTATTCTGTTAGTTAATCAGAAAGTAAAATGTTAATAGTGCTAATTATTGCATTTGCTACTCAGAATGTAAGTGTCACAACACCACTACTAGAGACCCCAAACTTTCTGCGAAGCCTGATGGGCCTCTGCATATTCAGATCCCTTCACAGTTTTCACACTCTGTTTGAAGCCTCAAGCTTTAGGGCCTGCAGTCATGACACTTTGATGTATAGAATCATGTCTTTTATCTACACAACCTGCTCCACACATTCAAAGCAAAAATTAAAAGATACAAACGGTAATTAATATGACGAAAAATGGAGAAGTCATAACTACCTAAGTTCAAACCCTTTGCTGTGGCAAACCTAAATTAATTCAGGTACTTTAATGAGCCACAATTAGTTCTGTGGCCTCTGTCTGTGTGCAATAATAGTGGTGGATATGATTACAGAATAAATAACACCTTTTTCTGTAATGTTGTTCAGTCAGGTAGTGAGCGAATTTCAAGTGAAGACTCATCGATGAAGACAAAGGAGTTTTCAGACCAGCTCAGGGATTAAATTGTATAAAGGCACAGATGAGGGGTATAAAAACATTTCCAAGATTTCTTTAATCTCTTTTTGAACCTGGTGAAGTCAGTCTGCCAGGAGGAATGGGCAGGAACCGCACTGGTGCAGACTGACCCAACTGCGGCTTTAATCGCCGCCTGATGCGCTTCGCCGTGTGGGTCTGAACTTACTTCTTTCTTCTCTTTAGTTATGGCTGACATTTGCTGTAACTTATATTACCTTTAGAAGTCTTCAATTTGAGCATTCACAGTTTGAGCGTTCCTTCTGTAATTTCACAGAACAGCATATGAAGGCTCTGAGTACACGTTCAAGGCACTGTTTGTGTATATTATGTAGAAATGCTCATGGGAGCATATTTTCCTCTGAAATACATTTCCACTGTGTAGAGATAACACATGGGACACAACAGGTGTACAGTTCTGGAAATTATTTCTATTATTATTTCAGAAGCGGATAACAGAAGCACAGGATTTTAAGGGTAACCAGCCTCATGTGTGTATGACTAGGTATCCGCATATTTGAAGATCTTTTGCTTTGTGCTTCTGAAAGATGAGTTCTTTGTGTGCGAGTGGGATTAATTCCCCTATGCTGCAAGAACAGTGCGGTCTTATTGTGGCCACAGGCTTTGCCATGATGTGCTCGGGCTCTACTGCAGCTCAGCTGCACAGAGGAGAGAGATTCTAGGCCTATAAGATCCTGCATTGATTTTTCTGTACCGGGGCGGAACAGCAGGGTATGCAATTCTGTTTGCCATTTCTATAAAGTAGAAACACCTTCTCACAAATCAATGCACTGTGCCTGCTGGATTTGGGATAACAACCCTCGCGCTAAAGGAAATGGCCAATGCAGTAGATCATAAATACTCCTGGCATACAGAATTAGAGACGTGAGGTTAGTTGAGTGTATCAGAAGGCCACGCTCCCTCAGGGCTGGCTGGGAGGACTTAGTGATATTGATCAGGTCACCATCCAATTTACCATCTGTACAAGTTACTCACTGTGGTGCTTCACAGGTCCTCCCAGAACCAGGCTAATTATGGTAAAGGACTTTACAGTCTGAATAGGGATTGATTTCTGCAGCTGGCCTGTCCCTGGGGCATCTCAGCCTGAAAAGGCAAGGAGTCCCAGATGGCTTGAGTACAAATTGAAAATGCCAACATTAAATCTAGAGTGGCTTTAGACTTCTTTTAGCCCGCTTTTTTTTAATGTATTATATCTGTCTCAATTGCAGTCTGATACCTTTTGTTGCAAAGAGACATGACAATTGTGCAAGGAAAGAAGTGTGGTTCTGCTGTATAAACAGTGATTTTACAGTGACGCGCCTCCCTTTAAAAGGCAATTAGTAAGCGCTGCCTTTTTGCTTGATCCCAGTTTAGCAAAATGTATTCATTGCCCTCCGGGCACAGCTCTTTTTTTATCATTATTAACCTTAATCATTTTAGATAATGTAGTCGAGATCATTATACACCGCTATCATATCTGCGGGACTGCTCAGTCGGCACCTGGTGAAAACACTCAGGCAGCCACACACTCAGCCCGGACGGGGCGAACAGGCTCTGGGATGAGGGATCAGCACCGCCACTAAACTGGGCTTGAGGGACTGATGAGTGACAAGCTGCTCAAACCGGGTCTCCTAATGAGCAGATCTTCAGTGGTTTCAATAGGGAATCTGAATCGGCCCACGGGACGTCCCATGACAAGAGATGTGTATGATAAGGCAATTCTTGTTGGGTGATAGATAAGAGCTCTCCCAGCCTTCTCCTGCAGGAGTCAGAACGGTTCAGGACCAAAAATGTTTTTAATAATTCCTTCAGTCCTTTCTATATTGCCCATTGTAAAGGAAGCACAAAGTACTAGTTTAAGCATTAAACAAGTGGTGGTGCCGGCAGTTTGTTAATATGCTTCAGCATACCAACAGGAGCATGGCCCAGTACAGCTATGACCTACCTGGGGACTACCTGGCCGAGCTGACGCACAGACCTGATCAGCCTCTGGACAGATTGCTGTGGGATGTGCTGCCACTCGTCCTGGGCAGCTGGTGAAGCTGGGCTGGTCATGGTCTCCTACCATTGGTGCTGGCCAGTTGATCCCACGCCTGTCCTGATGGGCTCGGCTCGGGTGAAAAGCAAGGTGTCTACGTTTTGCTGTTGTTTTCCCTCTACCTGAAGTCAGAACCTGTAGATCCGCTGGAACAGCAGAATTGTTGGCTGGAGGGCCTTGCCGGCGTACCGCCGAGCAATACGTTTGTCCTTCATCTGCAGTGAATGCGCTGCTGTGAGACGGGAGATTCTTCCCACGACGTCACACAGGCACCACAAAACATCTCCACACACGTTGTTTTCTGTGAGGGGCGAAATGGCACTCATCTGTGAAGAAACACTCCAGCACTCCCTTCTGCCACCTCGATAGATTCTCTTGTCCTGGAAGCCACAAATGTCTTCTGTGAACGTTTCTGTGGACTAGGCTACCGATCTCTGAAGCAGCATATCATTCACTGTTGGTTCAGATTCTTCAGCTTTATTTGGTTTACCTGTAAGCTGGCAATTGTATCTCAACACTGATCTCCTGACATTTTTTTAATGAAATCGTAAAGCGTGGTATTTTATCATCTCAAGGAAAAGTACCACTCAGAAATTAATGCCCTTTCTGCTCACTGTTTAAAACAACTTAACATTTTGTGAGCGCACAGAGCTATTGCTGTAAAACTGAAGTTGTGTTTTCTTTGTGTAGTCAGATTTATCCCCCCCCCCCCAATTAATGTTGGCATTTGACATTCAACCTAGTAAGCAGTACTCAAAATGTTGTAGCAAATTAATAGAGCTTGCGGGATACCAATACGTGTCTGCAACTATAAACTGAAAAGGAGAGATTGTACTGTTTATGCTCTTTCTCTTTTTAAAAATCTGCTGCCAGCTGAACGAGATCATCCGTGACCCAGCGGAAGGGCAGTTTTGGCAGGTCGATCACATCAGGCCTGTGTACGGCGGAGGAGGACAGTGCTCCCTGGACAACCTGCAGACACTGTGCACGCTCTGTCACAGGAAGGTCAGTCTCTCCCAGGCCTTCGCCCTGCTGCACTTTGCCTGTTTCCTTGTGGGAGTGAAATCCCGGGCCTGAAACCCTGTGCTTGTTTTACAGAGAACTGCACAGCAAGCCAAAGAGAGGAGCCAGATGAAGAGAAGCATGGCAGCATCAAAACTTGCTTCAGATATAACCCGATTTTTCATTAAGAAATAACAGGCTGTCTGGGGAAAGCGGGGCTCTCGTCTGTCAGAGCAGAAGGACGCAGCTCAGCCTGGTGCAGAGTGCCGAGAAACAGGACCCGGTTTACCTCTCGAGCAGGTTAAGCAGATTCGGACCCTAAAGCAGGGACACCACGGTCCCTTACAGACCTTTCCGATTGACTTGTTTTCTGACTGGAATGAAAGATGTGGTGTGTGCACCCATGCTGTACCTTAGGAGGGACTATAACAGCCTAAAGCTTAGATGTTCAGAAGATGCTCCGATGCTTTTGTTGGGCACTTGCTTGATTGCACTCCTGTCTCATCATCTCCTTCTTGCAGTTTTCTCCACTTGATGTGCTCGGAATGTTTGATAGGTAAACGTACATCCCTCTGGAATAATGTGCCAAATTCCGTAAGCGGCTGTTGTCTGTGGAGTAAAACACTAACTGGTGAGCCCCCCAGCTTGTAAATGAAAGAGTTATCCCTTTATCCGTTCTTACGCCTTGTACTGGAGTGGAACTAGAAGGTTCAAGATTTAGTTGTTTTTAACATGAAAATGCAAAAAAAAAAAACTCTGGCAGCACCTAGCAAATTTTAGTTCAACTTTAGTTTTGCAAAGTTATTCTGAAATAAGAATTCCTTTTAACTGGTAGATGATGTTTACAAAAGTCTGAGCTTTGCTTGTCAAGAAGACATTTCTGTAGTCAAATAAAAGTCTGAATCACTCAATACCTTTTTGTGTTTTGCATTTGATTTCTTAGTTCTAATGATCTAAAGGTATACTTTCAGTTAAAAAAAACTGTAAGATGACTTTTTTGTAATTATTTTTTTTTAAAAAAGCTCTTAAACCAATGTGTTGAATGTTTAAGCCTAACGTGTTTCAGTGTAATTTGGATTATTTCATTCCACTTGGTTGAACAAAAGGGAATAAACTAATTTCTCACAGCAATCAAACTTAAAATGAATATCAAGAAACTCACGCATACATAATGTATGTATCCTTTCTGTTTGCTTTTCACAAGCAATTTCAAGATTGGGGGAAAAAATGGCTGAACGTTACTATGGAAACAGACCTGGATGATAAGCAGTGTTCAGAATATTAAACTAATTCACAGCTCGCGTTCTGTTTATAGAGCTGCTGTGGGAGAAGTTAGCAGGTCTAAAATAAGCTGTGAATTGCTTCTGCAATTTAAATTTAATTGCAGTTTCCGAATAGGAAGTATCTTGTCTTTTTCTTGCAAAACAGGAATGAGAAAGAAAAAAAAAATGTTATCCACCATTTTAATTGGCATTTAGTTTTAAATGGCCTGGTGTGTTGCTCTCGTTAATGAAGATTATATATTGATGTAAAACTGAAAACGCAACACTTTGGATGTACTATCGAAGGGCCAGTGGAGTACAGAATATGCTGGACATCCATGGTTGTTTTGCTGTTATTGTTCTTTTTTGGGGGAAGAATGTTTTTAAGTCATACAATTTGGGTAACATAACTCCTTAATCTATATGTTTTATAATGAGGAAAACGCCAGAAGTCCTGAATTCCAGCATGTTTTTTTTCTGAATAGTGAAACTGAATTGTCCGCTGTAACAACACATATCTCATGGCATCATCTTTGCCTCTGCACTCTATAGCTCCCTACCTCGTCCTGTACTACTACTGCATTGCTCTCTTCTGTGCATTTCCTTTTCAAATTTGTTGCTGTGTTTTTGTGATCACTCCTTCCCCACACTCATACTTGGCATTAAACATTATGATGTGTTCATGATGACATTTTCGTAATTAAAATTACATCTACTTTTTACGTATACACAACTGTTTTTTTTTTAAGTGTAAAATGTAAATGACTTATTCCTGCCTGACTGTGAGTTTGATTCAGGCAAGAGAGTTGATTGGGCACAGGTGATATAACCTGTTCAACGGCAAGCCTGGTGAAAAACCGAGACGGGAACCAATATGTCCCACTTGTCAAGAGCATCTTCATGTCCTCCCTCTGCTGGAGGCTGGATTGAGGGATGAGCTGGGACTGCTCAGACACCAGTGAACAAGCATGTGCTGGGGCCAGAATCCCACCCTTGCACAGCAGGAGCTCTGCATGTCTTCAGTGAGTGCATCTGCTGCAGAAACAATATGCTCCTCTGTGAGTTTGCTGAAGTTCTAAGGGCTTCCTTTTGATGCTCAGTGTTCTGTTTTTAAATACATACAGTATTAGACTATTTGTTATAGTTTTTGATTTAATGGACAAAATGACATTAAACTGAAAGAAACATGTTACAAGGGAGACCTGATGTTATCAAACAATGCTTGCAGTCAATACATAGAAGGAATGCTTTGATTCCCTTATTTAAATGTTTAATACCCATTTAACGGTACTCAACAATGAATTATCCAACTAATGATCAATACATTGCCTTTTTGACATGTACAAACTTTGGCTAATTCAACCTTTATTAATCATCTTGTCAGCACAAGACGGATAAAAATGTCTGTAATGATTTTCTACAAGGTTATTAAAAAGGAAAATTCGGTTTAAAACAAAACAGCTTTTCCAGACTGCATATTAGGTGACTGTATAATAATTGTACATTCCATGTGTCTCTAGTGCCATGCTGTCAATGCTAAAAATCAGTTGACTCCGTGCATCCTCCTGGCAGGAGGCCTTCTGCCAGAACAAGAAGAGGTACTTCTACAGAACGCATCAGGCCCACTGTGGTGTATGTGGGACCACAGCAACATCAGCAGGGAGACGATCAGAGCTCTGGGCTGTGAGCAACACAGGGCAAAAACACTCTCATGCAACACAGTGCGCAGCAATATCCCCCCATCAGGAAGCTCAGCTCCAGACACACCAGTGTTTGATCTTAGTGACAGTTTAGACTGCAGACATGTTGACTGAAGTCTTCAGATATTTTGGAGCCTACACTTATTATACAATGTACTAATACTTTCAGAGCAGAGTGCTGACATTCATGTTTGTTTCGGATGAATTTCCCCTTTACACAGTTAAATTACAGAATAATTCTATTGGTAATGGTTTACATCACTTATCGCATAAACTATGCTAACAACATTAATCATGCCATTTTCTAAATAACTGGAATTAGGGAATGAGTGCTACTTTTTACATTGTAATCTTTATAATTGCACTTTCCACCAGAGGGGTTTTGTATTAAAAACACTTGCCGTAGTCTCAGCACACATGCAGCGGTGAACAACGGTAAAAGTTAAATCGATATCTTTATGCACATGAGGAAAAATAGAACCACATATGGCATTTTATAAATACCTGAACCCCCCCCCCCAGAAAAAAATACTGGAATGCCACAAACTTCACGCAGGAGTTGCAGGTGGCACATAAGCTGTTGAGATGGTAGGAGAGATACGTTTTGGATGCGACAATGTCAGACGCACTGCGCACGGGGCAGGCTGATCACCGCTCCAGCGGCTCTGGAGCCCGAAGCGAGGGCATCAGAAGAAGGAGGTGTCCGAGGAGAAGGCCCCGGCCAGCCGGAAGTCCTCCCTGGTCAGCACGCAGAACAGGCGCTGCGGCAGGGCCCGGGAGTAGGGCGCAGGGCGGGGGGCCAGCGCCCGCAGGACCAGCTCGCGGCCCGCCGGCGGGGGGAAGTCCGGACAGGGCTTCCTGTCGCCCGGCCGCTCCAGGTCCTCCTCCGCCGGCGCCAGCAGGGAAGCCTTGGAGACAGAGGCACGCGGTCAGCGCCCCGCTCGGCACTCTGAAGCAGACCCCGCGCGGGGAAGCCAACAGCAACGAACGGGGGGGGAAAAAAAACTCCCTCTTTTAATAAAGGCGAATGGAAGCATGGAGATGGCAGGACTGGAGCACGCAGGCACGGCGCTGTGTCTAAGGCTACTGAATTACAAACGGCATAGCAACCACCTCTCGGTTTCAGCAGTGCTGTCACTGAAATGCACCCCGTTTTTGTCATCATGAAGAGACGCTCAACAGAGAAGACTAATAACGTCTCATCTCAGAGGGCCACAGAAGGCTTCATCCCCTCCTCGGTGGGCTGAGGGTTACTCATATGGAAGATGGTTAGATGGCATAAACACAGAGGCACCCGTATGCAGACTACCACAGGCAAATAAAGGCCACTGGCTTCTAGGGATCCTTATCAAGCTGACACCCATAACGTTTCCCCCAAAACTCTACGCTAAAAATAAATTTACCAAGCCCAAAGGCGAAGAAGTGACCGATACTGAAAAGTGTGGGTAAGAAGAAGTGACTGATACTGAAAAGAAACCCACTACTAGGAGACGAGGAAAGCAATCTGGGTCAAAGCAAAACACAAAGTCCCCAGTGCCAGCCTCACTCCAACAGCCTGTCAGGTCTGAGCTGCAGTTTTTAAAAAGTGGCCTTGTTCAGCCAGGCCATGCTCCTCCACTGCGCACATGAGGCACACTGGGATGGGAGGTGGGGTGGAGAAGGGCTGGTTGTTACCTCATCAGTAGATTCAGCCAGCTTGAAAGGGGTGAGAGAGAAGCAGCATTAAGAGAAACAGAGGATGGAAGAGAACCAACAGAAAAGTCAGAGGTGACCAGAAAGGGTTAGAAATACTAAGAAAATGATTTACCATTACACAATACATGCCTTCATGTGTTCATTTGTGGGGAAAATACACACAAACAAGTAAAAGATACCAACCTTTAACCTTTTTCCACTAAAGTTTTTCAGAGAACTTTGTTAAAGCCTTTTTTAAAGAACAGTTTTATAGGATCTGTTTGACCTTTTTCTAGCCAACTACACACTCTTCAGTTAAAGGTGAGCACAGCGGTACAGAGTTCAACCAGTTTGAATTTTTCAAATCATCTCGTTATTGAGAACAATTTTTTTATTTATTTCACCACTACTGACATTTGCATGTGACAGCTGTTCTGAATCTCTACTTACTCCAAAGCCGCTGCCAAAAACGAAGCTGGATTGAAATGATGTATTTTTATTTCTGAGTTTAGAACGTTTCTAAGAGTTCTGACATTACAAATGAAGTCTCAAAACTACAGTTCGTGAAAGTGATTAATGATGCAGTTCCCCGGATGTCTACAGCGGTCCTGCCCTGTGATCACCTTTAAAGACTGGCGAGAACGTCGATGACACAATCGGCCGAGCAGCTCTCCGCACTGAAACACTGAAGCCCCTCGCCACTGACCACCTTGAGAGCCGGAACCTGTCGCCTCAACAGGAAGAAGACATGCCCGAGTCTAGGAGAAGGCTGTCCTTACCCTCTGAGCGCTCACAAACAGTTTGTGAATGATGCTGCCGGCCGGCCCTCTCCCTGCTCCAATCACAGGCACCTCCGGCTCCTCCAGCAGACGGCCCACAAACCTGGCGAGAGACAGGAGGGGTCACTGCTTGATCACACCCCTCGCATGACTGACAAGCCCTTCGGCCCTGGGACATCAAGCCCTGTGGCTGCGGGAGGCTGGCTGGTCCCCACAGCCGCACACAAACACAGGAGTGACAGCATTATTAGCTGGAGTGACATTTAGAATAAACTCCCCTTCCCGGCTTCCACTGGGATAAGCTTCCACTTATTGCCCTAAAGCAATATTGAGGCTTGATGAAGCTGAAACTAGGAAAGACTTTGTACCTTAAAAGTGCTTAGAAGCAAACGTTTTAAATAGGGTTAAATCCACTATCATTAAATCTACTGTATTAAACTTGAGTTAAGGCTGAATGTTACACATCTTATACATGAAAGCTGGATATTAAATATATATTATTTAATGTGCATTAATGATTTAGTACAAAAAAGAGAAAATGTATTTCTCTTTTATGCGCTCAATCAGCTATACACAAGCAAAGTATTGGACATTAATAACAGATTAGCTGGTGTCATGTTTTTAATCAGCAGGCAAACACCATATAAATGAGATCTCAATTGCTCAGGAAGGAATAGCATGATCATACATGATTAACAATTAACCAAGCCACATTTCATTACTAATGGATTATTGATGAGTAATTTGTCACACACAGTTTAATAATAAACTGCGTACAACTTTTCTACTAAAGACACCTGCTATGTGTTATATATCAAAGGTATTCAGGTAAAAAACAGTTCAGAGGAGCCTTCAGCAGCAACACAAACCCGTTTATAGCTCTAATTCTTTTGCTGTATCTAATTATCCTGATCATGTCATTTAGCAGACAATGTACTTTAATGCAATCCTAACAGATTCAGAAGTGTGTGTTTTAATTATGCTTTTTATATTTCTCCTGGAATCCGTTGCTGCTGTTGGAAGTATGATAATGATGTTTCAGCATGAATAAAAACTGAAAAAGGAAGGGTGCCGCATCCAAATCGACAAGATTCTGCTGTAACAGAAACAGCTGATGCATGAAGTAAAAGGGTTAAATCTTCCCACTTTCACAGCTGAAGGGCTCTTATAATAAGACAATTGTGTCTTATTCTTGTCTGAACTACGAGAACCTTTAAATAATGAACATCTTACAGGAAAACTTCCTGACATGCCCCCTGTGTTCCTGTCAGATTCTACCAGCACCCAAGTCAGCAGACTCTCTCTCCACACCTGTGACTCCTGCCTCTGCAGCCTTTCAGCAGTGGCGTCTACACTTGGTTTTACAGAAAGGGGGGAAATCTTTTAATAACGCGAGGGCTGATCGCGGCGGCGCACAACTCCTTCCCCGTGCGGACCAAACGAAGAAACAGCATCAAAGAAAATCTGCAGCATTGTTTGGCAAACATGTTCTTATCTGGTAAGAACACCAGTCTCATTATCAATAAAGGTAAAAGGTCTGCGTAAATACAGGATGATGCAACTGGTTCAGAGTAAGGGATCCGGCAATTATACCAGCACACCAATTAATTCAGACTGCTGCACACATCACTTACTTTCAGGGGGAAAGAGTTGGCAGGCAATCTCAGCTTCCGTGAAAGCGCCGGTACAATACTCATATTTCAGTGCCAGCGTGATGGAAAGGCACACACGGACCCGCCGAAAAGTTTACAGTTGTTCTGGGAATGCAGTTCTCAAAATTTAATTTCGGTCGTGAACAATAACTATGGGAGATGCCATGCCACTCGCTGACGCAGCTCAGTTAATGCGCGACAGCGAGGCGTCCAACAGGAAAGACCATTCTGAGGAAATGCTCTTTCTTTTTCTCGCACCTGGTTGGGAAACTCACGTGAAGTGTAACGTATCCCGGCAGCACGTTTCTTGTCTAGCCGGGTATGTCCCCCCTCCCCTTCAGTTTTTTTAATTAAAACACTGCAATATGCATTGCGTATCTCTGGAAGAAGTATACGCGGAATGTAACAGCTTCTGTTTTTCCCCACTCGTGGGATTGGGGTTAACAATAAAAGAAGTGTTAAAAGATGAATTGATAAATAAAGAACAGTAACGATCTGGGACTCCACTGAAAGCATGAAGCTGCGTTTTATTACTCTTTCTGGAATGCCCGAACTTCAAAACGCAGAATGAAATTAAAAGGCCGACGGGCGAGGATCACCACCCCCGCATGACCACGATCTTCTCACCTTTCCAGTTCCTCCTGGTCATCCACCTTTTCACACTTGCCAATCCCAAACTTCGCTTTCAGGGACCGAGCCCTGGCAATGACGGCCTCCCCAAGCATGATCTGGTTAATGAGGTCCTGCCAGAAACACAAAGATAAGGAGGTGTCAGCTCCCTGCTTTCTGCCCAGGTCCACCTCACCACAGAACAAGCCCTCCGGGCACTTTCACCTACCTCCAATTTCTTGTAGTCTGGGTTCGGGTGATGCAAGAGCTTACTGCCAAGAGATATGAACTGCTGGATGGTCTTTCTAACAGATGGGATATCTTCTACTGCCTCTGTCAAATACATTCAAGGTATTTTGTACGGTTTAGTCCATCAGAAGTAACTCAAATCAGCTCTTATCTTCAAGTAGGGGGAAAAAAAAGGGACTGACCTTCCTCTTTCTCTTTCAGAATTGCAGCATGGATAATGCAGGGCAGCAGGTGTCTAGTAAGGTCAGCCGGCTTCTGCTGGGCTAGGTAATGCAGAACCTGAGGAATGATAAAGAGCAGCTGGTCTGATACTTTCATCATGTTAAATGTGTGTGGTTGGGTAATTGCATTATTGAATTGTGCATTAGAAACGGTTTGCTTCATATCTATAAGAGAGACTGAACTAACGCTGACTTGATTCTTCTTTTTAAAAACACAGCGAAACACACGTAGAGAGGACAAGGAAATAAATCACTGGTGGCTCTGGCTTCTCCCTTTATCAGTTTGGCAAATGCTGATGTTCTCAAAGGTTTTTACCAGCCTGCTACAAAATCTGAACCTACTGAGCTCCCGTCTGCTTGGCAGCTGTCTTTTTTTCCAGTGTGATAAAGCTGTGGGAAAAGATGCGCAGCGCCGACATCTCAAGACAAGCCACGGCATCGCACTGAGCAGGGCACCACCCCCTCACAGACCGGCGGCACCATCCAGCCAGCCAACTCTCTTCTAGATGCACCACTGCATTCACGGGCCGGAAGTAACTAGGAAGGGTCTTCCCTCGGGCTTCAAACACGAAACAAACTGATTTTGTGACTTGCTCCGCGTATGGTAGCGGCTGGGAGGTTGCATTACAGTTCTGAGACAGGGTTTCTAGCAGATAAAATAGACTGAAGTTTACTTTTACAAAAACATAAACAGAACCTGCACTGGAGTAGAAACATGCTTGAATACCAAACAGTATAAAATAAGTAGGATAAATATTGTGAAGTCCCTAATTAAAGAACTTGTCATACCAAGTCAGTTTAAATGGGTCTTTGAGCCTGAAACTTTACAGGGTTGCCAGTTTTCAGCAATTATTGGTCTCATTCCTAACTTGACTTTTAAGCCATAAAGGTTTCTTACTAAAGTCTGACGAGCATGATTTACATTATTCAAAACTTAAATTATTTTTGCTGCATTAATATGTATTGTGCCACTGAGTTTTCCCAACATGTTATAGCAAGCAATTACAGTAGTTCTCATTTATGACAAAGACAAGCTCAGTTTATTTCCTCCTGTATGGACACTATTAGCAAAGACAGCAGACATGTGAAAGGGCTCAATTACCTCTGTACTGCAGCAGAGAACAAGCTCACATTTTCATGCACATGTTCCTCACAACCAGCTGCTTTTTTGCCATTGTAAGGCATGACAGAATCTCAACAATAGCATTTGCAGGCCTTTAAAAATGACCTGTCCTCTGTCATAAATAGCCTCCTTCTGTTTGTAGCTGTGATTCAAGAAAGTTCTTTCTGTCCCCTTACAGGCGAGCTAACATTTTCTAATAATTATCCCTAAATTAGCAACCGAATTTATAGCTGACACCTAACATCACACGTTTTTTTCCTAAAGGACGAAGGAGGAGTGTCACAGTGCATAATGACTTTCAAAATCGTCAGGCTTTTCCACCAGGAAGTCTTTTTTCGCGCACTGCCCTGCATGCTTCACTGAAAGGATTCGGGGCAAGGACAAGGACACTCCTCGCCGCACCTATGGGGAAGCAGGCAGCCAGTGTGATGGCCTACTTTCACTCCTGCTCGTGACTGGTTAAGGGAATGCCTGGAAAGACCTAGCGGGCCCGGCTGAATCTTGAGAAATGAAGGATCGGATTAGTAGCACATCAACCATAAGACCTGTTACACACCCACTGTGGGCGACGCTGCAGTCCACACCTGCGATGAGAGATTTCACTCTTTCATTGTACCAACCCAACAGGGTGTCCACATGGCCTGAAAAAAAAAACCACTGGGTGCTGGCAGTGGTGCCGGCAAGCTCAGATGCCACAAGCTTCCCCGTGCGGTCATTCGAAACCCTGTGTGCGACCGGGTAATGAGGTCAGGGGTCAAGCGAGCAAGTGGCAGACCATGTCTTGGAACCCGTTTGCTTCCAGAGAAGAGTTCAGAAGCACCGCGAGCTCTACAATCCCGGTCAGAGATTCATACAAGAACATCTCGCAACAGATATGCACTGGAACACCGTTTCATCTGCCATCAGTGCACAGAACAAGTGGTGTATTTAATAAATCCTGTAATATAACCGAGCTAGAACGTAGTTTCCGCTTTCCTCTGTTGTGTAGTTACTGAACACGCCGTTTGGTTATACTGTTTCGGCAGCATCCGCCCCAAATTGTTGGCAACAAGAAAAGAAACGAGGGGCTCGTGTTACTGGGCAGAAGGCAGCGGAGCAGAAAAAGCTCTGGAGACGGAGCTCGTGTGCACAGCCATCTGCGTAGACTTGGCTTCAGGAAGGAAGCGCTCCTTCTTGGGGTGTTAACGAAGTTCTGCCGCGCGGAGTGGAAAAACCGGCACTGGCGCTGGCATTTCCTTTCTCACGAGCTCTGCGCTCAGTCCTGCCAGACTACCTTCTCGGCTTCCTTGGTGTCATCAAACAGCCTCCTCTGGCGGCGCACCGGAGTTGGCTTGGCTGTCTCCCAGGCCTCCACCCACATGTTCCCTGGGATCCTCATCCTGGCGCTCAGCTGTCCCTGGAGAACCGTCTCTCCCCTCTCGTCAACCACCTCCTCCTCAACATAGTCCCGAGGGGAATACCACCTGACAAAATCTTCCAGGGAGCAGCCCGGGTTCGCTGCCTAACGGGGGACAAAAAAGAGCAGCTTACTGCCATTTCTAATTCCACTTTGGACTTGACTTGCAAATTCCGAATTACAGTGACATTCACTAGAATTTTCAATATATATTTTATATGTTCTACTTGTAAAACAAGCAATACAATCATCCAGGAAACTGCAAATAATGTTGGGGTATATATCAGTCCATGCTGAAATTTCCAAATCGTTAAAAAAGACAAGGGTAATGAAACAGGGAAAAGTAGTTTTTTGGAATTTTCACCGGCAACAAACAAAAGGAGCAAAAGCTCACTATTGCTTCTTCAATCCGACCTTTAATAAAAAAAAAATCTCCTCTACCCAGAGACAGAAAAATAGCTTAATAAAAAAAAGTGATATTTTAATTTAAAAAAATAAAAATATTGGACATCTTATTTGGCGCTGCAGGTTATTTTCCTAGCGGCACGATGTTGGAGCTGCTGGGCTGTATATATCCAGAGCCAATTTCTGCTCCTTCAAATGTTTTGCACGCTGGAGAGGAACAAGCGACTGACCTCCTGCTGTCAACTGCAGCGAAGCGAGTCTGCTTTCTACACCCGAGTTTATGGAAGTAGTACTGGGGGAAGGGGATCTGTCATGTTCTTAAGTCTCACAATTTATCATATTAAGACTCCTCTATCAGCCCCATGGGAGCTGATAATTAAAAACCAAATGCCAGATTAGGCTTCGGTAAGCACAATTATGTGCCTTAGCTAAATTTAGAGATGGTATTAAGCTAGGGGGTTATTTACTGTATACCTGAATGCAGAATATCCAGTAAGACTGGCAGTTATTGAAATGCCACAAAGTGTAATTGTGTATCTCTACAGACTAGTCTTTCAAAAAAAGTGAGGCGTTTCATAACAGTAGAACTATACGGCTCAACAGAAAAATACTTAATAGACCCTCGCGCAAACGACAAGCACCATTACTATTCATATAGCTCAGCTGGGATCATCAAAGTGAAATATAAAAGCTTGTTCAGTGCAGAACTAACGGCGGGCTCATTTACATCCTGTCTCACATCTGAAGTGCACTACAGTACGTTTTACAGCACACCTTGTTATGTGGGTAATGATCATTATACAATGAATTACCATGGAAGGATGAAGAAAAAAGTCAAGATGCTTATGATAATTCAAAAGATTCACAATCTGCTCTGAAGGATTCTTTCTTCTATGAAATATGTTTTTTCTTTGTCTCTCCACGTGGAACAATTACTTCCATCATCCCAGCACAAATTATAAGCAGACTGATGTACTGTTTTTCATTTCAAAAATGAAAGATTCAGGTAGTGGACAAAAACTGGACACAACTGGGTAAGGGAGAGAAGACAAGTATATCAAAAGCAAGGGCTTTTGCAGTTTGTCTCTTGTATTAATTAATACATGCTTAGGGTCATGTATAAAAGTGCTGGACAGGCCTGGTAAGCTTGTAATATGGGCAAACATTGCTACAAGAGAAGACCTCAGTGAGCCTGATTGCTGGGATGCTTTTTGCAGGAGCTTCAGTGACCAAAACATCTCAGCATGCTGATGTTTCTCAAGCAGCTGTGTCTAAGGTGATGTCAGCATGGACCTCAGAGGAAAACACACCAGCAAAGAACAGTCTGTAGATATACGTACTCCAGGACAGTGAAAACTGTGCATTAATTTGAACTGCACAGCAAAACTGGCAAGCAGGCGCACATCAAATGATTGCAAGTTTCAACCCGGGGTGCAAACAGTTAAATTAATCAGAACCAGTCTACTGAGACGTCCACAGAGAGGGGCACCTTAGTCGCGTTCCGGTGCTCAAACCTCATTCATGCCAGGCAGTGCCGCGAGTCCAGTGGTGCAAAGAGCACAGACAAGGGGCCGCCAAGCAGTGGAGAAGTGGGATTTTTATTACATGAATCATCCTTCATCACATTATTGACAAGTGAACTAGAGCTCATGTAGCACCAACCTGAAGAGCTCTGCAGCCCTAACACTGGATCAACATTATGGTCCAACACTCTGTTAAGAGGCTTTACATTGGTGTTCATTTTTTTGTCCACTACCTGTAGGTTTCTCATTATTGAAGGAGATTTCAAGTTAGAACAGCTTCCATGACTCGTTTTTGCCAGCTGACAGAGAGACGGGGATAAATAGCAGACATTTGAGACTGAGCAGCTGAGATGTTCAGTAAAGAAAGCCTCCAATGAAATTAATTTTCATACTGATTATGTTCTTTGCTAAAACAAACCCCATTAATAACATCTTACACTGCAGACTGACAACACTCAATGTTAAATATAAGCGTGCAGTCAAAAACTCTGTTAGCACTTCAATCATATCTATAAAAAGAAAACCACATTAAACAGTGCGCTCTTGAAAACCTTTATTACCAACTCAACCTTAATGAGCTCTGAATTTAGAACACATTGGGCCTCGTTCAAACACCCAGCTTTCACACTCTCTCATGGAAGAAAGGCTGCACTCCGTAATAAGCGTGCAAACCTGTATTTTGCACACCTGTCTCCAGATGTTCTTTGTCATTTCCATGTGTACATGTTGTTGAGCACGAGCCAGGGGGAACAAGCAGTGACGGACAGAGCTTCAGAAGCATCGAAAGGCAGAGCGGCGATGGGCTGGTGTTCGTGAGCGCGATGACTAGCGTCCTCGTACCTTGAAGGACTCCATGTCGGAGAGCAGGCAGGCGCTCTGCATTCGAGCCCGCAGATGTGCTCCCTCGGCTGATGTCCCTAATTTGGCCAACACCTCTGACTGCTCTTCTAGCAAATCCTCTGTCATCGGCGCCGGCTCCTGCGGAGAGGAAAAGGTCAGACCTTGTAATTAAGCTGCTGCAGTGGGATTTGACGACTTCTATTTTTTTTTCCCAGGAAGAAGATGTCAAACAGAATGAAAAGGGCTGACACTTAAAACTGGGCCCTTCGATCTCCAAGTTCATCATTTTTAATGAAATCCAGAAGAAACACCACCTGCCCGCCATATATGAGACTGGCTCTACTCGCAAAGCTGACAGCTCCTGAGCTTTATTGCTCTGCACAAGAACTGCCACAACACTTCAGCCACGCTCCGGGCCCTAATGAACACACTGCTGCTTTTGTTCAAACACGCAGCCTGCTGGTCTGCAAAGCACGGCTGTCTCTGTACAGCCTCACGGGACACGGAAATCGTGCGAAAAAGGGTTCAAAGACCCAGCCATCCATTAACAGAAAGCCGAACTTTCCCGAAAAGGGTTGTAGCAACCTGAAACTACAAAACGCCATCCTGGACAAGGTGCCAGGCCTCTACAGGACACACACACCCCCATGACCTGGAGACGCTGAATAACCGAGCCGGCAAGTCACTGGAAGGTGGGAGAAAAACCCCAGAGGGTTTCCCAAACACGTGGAGATCATGCAAGTGAAGCAGCGCCAAGTCAGATTCGAACCCGGGACCCCAGTGATGTGAGGCACAAGCACTGCTACCTCAGCTAAGATACTCAATAAGAAATAACTGGAATCCCCTGCAGGAGCCTTAGGGTTTCACAAAGCGCTCAGCTACATGAGCCGGTAAAGCAGAAAAATTCAATTCTGAGCTGAGAAAGTTCTCGACTGTGATTCACATTTCACGGCAAAGCATTTCCTGAACAGCTGTGGATCCAGTTTTGCACCTTCACATCCTCAAGGTTTAGTGGTGCAAAGATTTTGACATAAATCACTTACAGTAAGTCTGTTGTAAATTCAAATCTAACATGACAACGAAGAATACCACTTTTGATTTGGAATATACTGTATAAAATGAAATTTGCAAACCTAAGTAAGTTATAATTTTAATTAAAAAAACGTAACCCAGAAGAAGCATTAACAATGCTCTTGAGAATATAAATAGGACAGGTCTTTACAGTGAGTATCATGCTACCAGTAGACTAATTAATGTGAGAGACTAAATCTAGGGCTATCCAGTTCATAATTGATGAACACTGAATACTTTGAATTTATAACAACTCACTTGCATACGTTCGATATAAAACCAATTAATTATAATAAAGGTAATTCTACTAACATACGCCACCAAGCCAAAATCAAGCCACCGCAGATTTTTAAAACAATTTTTAGAGCATCATATTTATATAGATCTTAAATTTAACACAGATCTTTATTCAGTAGAACAGCTGGTACGCAAGTTCTCACTGGAGGTGAAGAGGCTTTGCAATACTCAGAACAGCAGGGAGCAGAAATTCCTGCTTTTCAGCGGGAACGTAACCTCACCTCGCTCCTTTACAGCCCATCCCTGCAGTCTCTCGCCCGCCGTGTGTCCACCGACACATCATATTGATCGGCATGTCTCAGCCGTCGCCGGTGCTCCACTCGCCCAGACCCCCGCGCGCCCCCGCTCCTCTCACCTGCGTGACTGGGATATACAGCGGCTCCTGTGTGTGCAGCAGGGTCAGCTTGCCGTGAGGGTGCAGCCGGCCCTCGGGCCGGGCCCGGGGGGCCTCCTCGCCGCCCTGGGAGCCGTCCCGCAGCTCGTCCGCGTCGCTCACGCACTCGAAGAACTCCTCCTCGCTGTCGCTCCACGAGTCCCAGGACTTCCCCTGGGCCGGCTCCGGCGCCGAGCCCTCCTGGCCCGGCCTGCCGTTCTCGCAGCCCGACGCCTTCCTCTCCCTGGCGCCGTCCGGCGGGCCGGCTCTCCGCCCCTCGTCCCGGGCCTTCTTCCGCTCGATGCAGCAGTTCAGCATCTGGCGAACGGGCACAGCGGGCGCTGACACCGAGCCCCCAGCAGCGAGCCGCGCACACTGCTCGCGTTCCACACGAACAGCGCGACATCAACCCTGACCGCGCCCTACCACGAGAAACACAACCGCCTGCACAGAAATTAAGACCCGAATCGAAGGATTCGCCGGCCCTCCACACTGTAATTACCGTCTAAAGAGGAAGCAGTAATGCATCTGTGGAAACTTGTGGAAACCTTTTCCAATAAACAGGACTACACGATAAACATGAGCATCTGGACTAATGTATAGAATAGTCACCTGAAGCTTCTGGTGCAGTAGGCAGCATCTCAGGTCAGGAGGTCCACTGCCTAAACTAAGAAAAAAGGATATTTCTGCGTTGAGAAGCGGTTACCAGTTAATGTGAAAGGAGACGGATCTGGATTAATGATTCCTGTGTGACAGGCCCAGCAGCTGGATTACAGTAACAGGGGAAAAGATTACACAATAAATCACAAGCAGTGCAACAGCTGCAGCGAGTTTTATCAAGCTCATTCATCATTCTTAATTGCCAGAAGAGAGATACAGGACTTGATGGAACCAGAATTGTCTGATTTTCAGCAACATTTTGTCCGTTGTTTGCGTGAGGCAAACATCTTGGGAGTGGGTCCTGAAGATGTTTTGATACTAATTTATTGTACTTGCATGAATATTTTCCTTGTACCTACACATAACGGAAACTGTATATATGTATATAGTTTAAGTCACACTGGATAAGAGCGTCCAGCTCCTTATGTAAATAAAACCTGAAACCATCATGGAAAAACAGATTTCTTGCTCTCCGGACATTTTCTTTCCTCAATGACGGTTTGAATCACAACCTCACCTCACATGTAGAGGTGCCGAGAACTAATCTAGTTGTGAGAGATCATGATGGATGTTATGAGGAAAGTCTAACTTTGGAAAGATAAATCTCATTTGTCAATATAAATAATGTCTGTCTTTCTAGAGAAGACAATGTAAAGGTTTCTAATAACATAACCTTGCTTTAATATAGCACTTTCCATCCCAAAACGCTTCATACATCCGAGTGGAATCTATTCAGCCACCGCTGAAGTGCAGGCCCACCAGGGTGACACACGGTAGCCCCACTGCACAGCAGGTGAAGGAGGAGGTGAGAAATTACTTCACCAGGTCAATTAAGGGAGCTCAGATAGTATAAACCTGGAGAGGAGTCGAACCTGAGTAGCGGGGCTAACAGCTCTTTTTGAAAAGTGTCATGCAATCTTCAAATCCTCAGAAGCATTACACCTCCTACAGCAGAGTACGCAACATGCCACAGGAACTGCTGGTCCAGAGGAAAGAGCGCCCCCTATAGGTCTACCTGTCTCCCATCGCAGTACCGAACCCGCGAGGGCGGAGCGGTGGCTCTGTGGCTCAGGATCTGCGCCTGTGACTGGAAGGTTGCCGGTTCAAATCCCGCGGCCGGCAGAGGAATCCTACTCCGTTGGGCCCCTGAGCAAGGCCCTTCACCCCAGCTGCTCCAGGGGCGCCGTACAATGGCTGACCCTGCGCTCTGACCCCAAGCTTCTCTCCCTGTCTGTGTGTCTGTGTCTCAAAGGAGAAAAGCTGGGGTATGCGAAAAGACGCATTCCTAATGCAAGAAATTGTATAGGGCTAATAAAGAAACATTATTATTATTATTAGATCGGACGAGCTCAAGCTACAGGGCGGCAATGCTGTCGCCCAGGAAGGGCTGTAATAAATCGGGCTTCACCTTTAGTGCCCAGAGGGTGCTTACCCAGGTATGAGGTAGTTATTTTCCCATCTGTAACGCATTTCCAGCACAAACTCCTGCCACAGGTGAGCCACAGCCTTCACTCCTCCATGGTAGAAGTTCACCATGCCAAGACACAGCGCCAGTCTGTACGTCAGGGTGTCAGCAGGGGAAGATTTAAACTGGTTGTACAGGTTCTAGTAAAACAAAAAGGAATCATGAATCATGCAGTACAGGCCATGAAATGTCCAATTTTGTGTTCTTTTTATATTCCACCTGAGCATCTGATTTTTACTTTCAGATGTAAGCCATGTTAAAATGAAAAACACTTCACAACTGACTGAACTGATTCTTTCTTTAACACATTAAATCTTCTATTGATTGGATATTAAGATACATACTTCTCTCTATTCCACATCAAAAACAGTAACCAAAGTGTTGTGAACCTACATAATCCTCCGCATCCTTCTCAGGCTTGCTGTTTGGATTAGGTGTGACAGGCTTTGCATCGTTTGCGTCAGATGATTTCTCAGCAGCGTCAGGGAAGAGGTACTGCATTAAAAGTGAAGAAGGATACATTCTCACTGTGCTTCTGTGGTATCGCTCTCTTTAACATTATATTCAACAAAACGACTTCTGTTTATATAATACTTACAAAGCAGAAAGGCTTGATAGTTCTGCTTCAGATAAAAGCACACTAACCAATAAGATCGAATTGAGGACGTCAGTGCTCAGAGGTGACTCCTCCACCCGGCGATGCCTGCGGATCCTTTTCCTTGCACTGTGCACCATGTTGGACACCGAGAGCTTATGAATGGGGACAGTGCTGGGCTCCGTCAGCTTCGACAACGCATGAGTGATGTCGCTGTTCTCTGCAACGACAAGTCAGCGCTGGCTTTGCCTGGTACAGTAAGCCTTCTCTGAGAGAAACAGCAGGTGGGAGTCTGCGCATCACCAAAACCAGCTGCTCAGCTGCAGGTGTGCGAGCTTATCCAAAATGAACCATATGTTAGAAACGATTTCAGATCAACCACTTCAGGGTTCACTTGCAGGTCTTTACTTTTACATAGTTTCAGCCGAGAGAAAGGCTCACCAATATCTTTTATAACTCGGGGACATCAGAGCAGTCAGTCAACACAAAGGCAGCACTTCATAAAAGCAGGTAGCAGGTCCACATCACCTTACTTGAAAACACTGTCAGCATAAATAACGATGGTCTTGGCAAAGTGGCACGTACCCATCCATTTTCTAACTGCTTCTCCCAGTTCAGGGTTCTGGGGGAGCTGGAGCAGGGTACACACTGGACAGGACACCAGTTCACCGCAGGGCACACAGACACACTCTCACACCAGGGCAAATTGCCCCAGATGCCAATTAAACCACCAGCAGCGCCCATAAGAAACCTCCTCAAAAAACAGGGAGAACATACAAACTCCACACAGAGAGCAGCCCATGTTCAGAACTGAACCCAGGGCCCCAGGGCTGCGAGGCAGCAATGCTAACTACTCTACCAGCGTGCTGCCCGTGGCATGTATGTGGGGTGGAAAATTATAGTCAAGTGTTACAGCAGCCTGACGACGTCAGGAGAGCCTCACTGCAGAGCGGACAGTAAAGCACGCAGTGGCTGCAACCTGAGGAGCTCAATGAGCTCAAACCACTCTGACAAAAAGTGAAAACGATTCACTCCCTCATTCACTATTCTAAGAGAGGAGCTTGTGGAAAAACAGATACAGTATTCTCTTTTAAAAAATCAGAACACCCATTTTCCCTGAAAGTGCCAAGATCCATCACAGCTGACGATCTTCACCCGATTTGAAAATTGTTCCAAGAAAAGAGAATTCATTCAAGGCTCAATTATCCTTTGATTGCTGCAGGGATATATAAGAAAGCACAACGTTCCTGAAATTAAAATATATTCAATATTTCAGTTAGTGCATAAGAACACATAGAGACTGCAAATCAGAAGAGGCCAGTTAGACATCTAGTGCATTTGGCTGCCAGTAGCTAACTGCTCCAAGGATCTATTCTAGCCTCTTGATCGAGGGATCTGTTGGAGGTATCAGGATGTCAGATTCAACAGTGTTGTACTTCTGACTCCCTTTGTGTACAATAACGTCAACAAAAGTGTCAAAACAGAATAATATGTTGAAGGGGCAAATGTAAAACAAAAATAGACGGAGGGACTCGATGGCAAACGCCAGCGCTGAAAGCAACTTAAAGTGGGACATAAACACTAACAACGGGCTTAACCCAAATCATAATCCTATCTGGGGGCAAACCTGCAAGCCTGTGGATTTTGCAGTTGTGCAAGGACATGTGTTTTTCTATCCATCTTCTGAAAAAGATCATTCTCCTATTGTGCCTCGGTCCCGCGTCGTGATCATCAACCGAGAAGCAAACGTTCTCTAGTTTACACTGAAGTGTAAAATCTGATCATCCCCCTTTCTCCTGACAAAAGTCTTAATTATTTCAGTGAAATCGACTCCAAACCGACATTACAGTCAGAATGGCATCCTAATGTATATAAATTAAAATAACAAAATTATCATGTCAGGCACCAACTCATCAACCATATGATAATGGAATAAAACAAACATTTGCCAATGATAAGTCAGTATAGTTACTGCCTGCGGTTGAGTGCATGGCTATTTTCAACGCTTGTAAAAGCAATTAACTTTAATCGTTTTTTATGAGTCACCTACAGTGTATGTAAATAGGGGAAAGGAGGAATTCTGACTGTGTGGACTTCTGTCCTGTTAATGCAATTTCCACACCGTGCCAGAACACACTGTTTATGTCCTGAAAAAAAGCACGAGGCAGTAACAGCCTTTACTGCCCTTGTATATCAGATGGTAGTTCTCATCAATAACCCCCAATGTTCCCACAAGTTGTTCCACATATGTCTATACGTCTATACAGAATCGACAAGGAGCTTGTACATGTGCTCTCAGCGGAGCGAAACATTACGTGAAACCCGACAGGTCAACATCAAGGAGAAGAGAAGCGTTCGGCTCGCTGGATTCAACAGCACCTCCCACCACACTTATAGCTCTACCGTTGGTTTGTTTTTTTTTTAAAAAGAAGCTAACAGAAGTCCATCTGTCGCAAAATGAAAAAATAAACATTTAAGGTGCCTAAAGTGAGTCTCAAGTTGGTATTTCTGATAAGAAAAACCTGGGTTTAAATTTACTGCAGATTAACCTCCTGGATTAATCAATTCCTGTCATTAATATATAATCAACAGTTTTTAGTCCTGCTACAGCTTTAATAAAGGTAATGTAAATATTCCAAAAAGTATGGTCCCATGATTGCGAAACAGAATGGTTATTCTCGGAGTACCTTTGCCCTCGTCCTCGATGGGAGATCTCCCAAGGATTTCGTCAGTAGACTCTTTTCGGCCGCACAACTTGAAGAACTCGGTAAGGAAGTCTCCTGAAGGACAAAAACACCCACAAGGGCGACGAGATCAATCAATACGTACTCTCAGCATGTGCAAAATCATTAGAATGAATTAAAAAACACCCTTTGCTGCTTCATATTTAACATGACTTGAAACTTGAAACAGCACAAATGTACCGCCATGTTCAAGCGGTGATGTACTTTTCAACAAAAAGAATAACCTTTTTAAAATAAAATAAGCAGTACTAAAAGATACATTCTCAGAAACCTTTTGCCTTAAGCACCACCCACACTTTTCTCAGACTGTTCTGCCAAGTGCTGCCGTACAAGTCAGATCAGCTGAGGTGAAAAGACCCCAAGAGGCAGCACTTACTTATCTGATACTGTTTTACATCCACCAAACTAAAAATCAAGCTTCAGGATTGGAAGTTCATATTAAAAACAAAAAAAATATTAATACAACAAAGTTAATCCTTTAAAACACATTTACAAATAATTTAACAACCTATTAAATATTAAATCTAAGTACAGTTATCAGTATTTATCTCACAAAAGGTCTTACCCAAAAGGCACTGAGGGTTGTCAGCTTTTCTCACTCTTACAGACCACTGAGGAGCCTGAAGTGGATCTAAATCACTAGACAAAACCACGTTATCGGGGAAAAAAGCAAGTATTAACACTAAAGTCAATTCAAAATCTGAGAATTAAATAGACTCCTTATGAACTGGCAAAGAAGATATTATAAATGATCCACATACAGTACGTGATTACAATACTAATTAAATTCCAAGTTTTTCAGAGAGTGACATCATACTGAATGGGAGACTGAACATCATTATTTTCCCACCCTTTGTTTAGTGAACGTTAAGCATCCACATCTGGGCTAGAGCAATCATGGTCTCTTACACTTTCTTTGCACTTTGACTATTCAAAGGGTGAAAACTTGCACGACTGGTAGGAATTAAAATTTTAAGCAAGAAGGAAGTGAAAAATACTCACGAATACACATCATTGTCAACCACGATGCCTTCAGACAGGTGAGGCCACGCAGTAGCAAGGTGAAGCTCACTAACAAAATATGTATAATCACCATCCATTCAAAATCTCTTTTGATTCTTCATAATTTCACTCATTTGTAAAATGTCCAAATATTCAATTACACAGAATAAAAATGCCTTTTCTGCTTGTAGTGGCTTAAAGAACAAAGCTTAAAGTGAATGGGCAGCCTCTCTCAACACGGAGTGAAGCTATGTACTCATTTCCTTATACTGGACATGAAGTGGAACCTCACAGCTTTAATGGCTGTCGGTTCAAGCCATGTGAACCACATCAGGAATGGCTCATCTACCTGATCGGATCCTCGCAAGCCCCGAATGGCAACTTCCCAAATTCCACACCTCCCACCTCTCCACCTAGCGGGGCGTCAAAGTCTACGAAAAAGGACACATGACACAATTACCTGGCGCCTAAATTACCTACAGACCAGAAAAAAACAGCACGTTCAAGACCAATAAAATTACGGGAACCTCACTGTCCAAGGTAACTAACTGACATTGCTTCTAAAAACAAATTTGTTTCTCCCCCCCCCGAAATCAGCCTTTCAAAGGCTGGGACCTACCAGGCTTTTCCAATGTGAAGGTTTCTGGGCTTTGCGAACTCTGCTTTCTTTTCCATATTAATACCGAAATAGGAAACAGGAGATGAGGCCTGGCATTTCAGTGTCATTCCTTGCCATTAGGTGCTCACATTATCAACCACCTTTCATTTCTCATCATTAAACCGGTGTTGAAATAGACATTTTTTTGTTTTCTGGAAGAACACTGACTCACCCGGTCTTTCGCACAAAGCACAGCATTCCCACGGGTCACCTGCAAACAGTGTGCATTACGTGCGAAAGAAGAAAAGGGCCAGAAGTGACAACAGGAAGATGGACTACTATCAGGAAAGAGCAGATTCTGGGGTCTAGACAATGCATCTTCAAGCTGCCACAGTGGGGAAAGAAAAGCCCCCCTTACAAGCCAATAAACACTGTACCAACCTGGAGGCTGCTGGGGCCAAGAATACTGCTGCCAGTCCTGCAGGATGTACGTAAACCTGATTGCTATGCTGATGGGCGGCATGGGTGTTAATGGGCATCCCTTTCAAACAAACGAGAAAAAGCGAATGAAGTGCAGGTTAGTGATCTCCGCTGAAGTCCACATCAAGAATAGGAGAACGAGATCATCCGCACAGAAAATAAGTTTATTTGGGCTGCTGACAGCCACATCCAGCTGTAATATGCAAACCACCCACTACACACGCCACGGTATCTGAACACTCACAATCGTGTGGCAAGAACCCTGCCAGAAGAAACACTTACAATCTTTGATTTGAAAACATCCAGCAACCCAGACAGGTGGTTGTACTGACTGGGCACTTTGCGGAGGTGGACCATCTCAAAGTCTGTGCGCACACCAGGACCTTGACATTCGCCCACATACATCCGCCTCCATTTCTGCTGGATCTGTACAAACACTGGCACCTGGCTGATTGAGACACAAAGGACAGGACAACGGCAAGGAACGTTATGTTCACCTTGTGAAGGATATTCAGCTGCGGCTCTCTTCTGGAACAGGTGCATTCAAATGCATTACCTACTTGAGCTGCTATAAATATCTGTCACCCTTCGCCCAAAATACAGCTGAACAACACCATCTAGTGGAAATAATGTCAAAATCAGGCAGCACAATAAGTTTCAATTGTATGAGCATTTCAAGCAGATTGAGGTTATAATAATTATAGCAATTCTTTACACTTTTTTATTTCACTTTTCTGGACTCTTCACTTAAAGTACTTTACAGCTAATGGGGATCTCCTCCACCACCGCCATTATCCACCTGGATGATGCGCCAGTACGCTCACCGCACATCAGCTATCAGTGGGGAGCAGATCAGAGTGATGAAGCCAGTTCTGAGATGGTGTTTATTAGGAGGGCATGATTAGTAAAGACCAGGGGGGAAATTTGGCCTGGATGCCAGGGTAACACCCCTACTCTTTTCGAGAAACGCCCTGGGATTTTTAATGACCACAGAGAGTCAGGACCTCGGTTTTATGCCTCATCCAAACGACGGCGGCTTTGGATCCTCTAGAATAGAGGTTTCTGGTCCAAGTTTTTAACCACAGGCTAACTGATTCAATTTTAACAGTTGGAATGTATTTGTAAATTTGCCTTCAGTCCTTCAGACGTTAAACAGGATCTGAAATTGGTGTCATCCCTGTACCTGTCCTCATTCAGGTGTGCTTCCTGAAAAGTGACCAAGGACCTCTGTAGAAGGAAAAAATGCTTGCTGTGGTTGTGTTTGATAGTGTCATTCCTCCCATGTCTGTTCATCAACTCCTAAACTAGCCAGAGCTGTTTAAGACATAAATTATGGCCAGCAGGTTGTGGAAAGGCTGCACAACGTTCTGTGTGCTGATGTAGTTGGCAACAGTACCCTCTGAGGCACTGAGCAAAGAAACATGTTAAATAGAAGTCTAAAAAAGCAAGCAATTAATCAATTACTTTTGGAGATTTAGGGCTCAGCTGGAATGAAAACCAGCAGACACTAGGCGTTTTTCCTGGACCACAGCTGGGAACCCTTGCACTGGAAACAACTCTTCATGCTCCACCAGCGGCACATGAATCTTACAGGATGGTAAACTGTAAAACTGGTAAATTTTAGAATGAAAAGGTAAGAGCAGGGATCTGGCAATGGAGCAAGTAGGGCTTAATTCTGTGGTGAAAAAAGTCTATTTCAGTTGCACACTGCTGCCACCTACCAGCCAGTGTTTCCCAGTGAAATAGCGATGGAACTGAGCAGCAGGCTGCACTTGGATTCACTGATGACTGCATCAGAGTTGGCTCCCGGGGAAATTACAACAAATTCTCGCAAACCATACCTGCACAGGAAAAGAAAGGAAGGCAATTTACTTAATTACATGGGATTTTCAGAAGGGAAAAAAGACAAACACACTGACACCCACTGGAAAACACTGCATCAGAATACTATAAAACAGTAGTTAATTTTTTTTCATAAAATTCCTTTACTGTTTGTTTTAACACTTGTCAAAAGAACACAAAATAGGGGCTCCTAAGTGGCTCAAGGGCTAAAGACTGAGAATGCAAACAGAGCCCTACGGCCCTGCAGGCACTGGTTTAAGCCTGAGCAGTGAAATCGGGCGACTCAGAGTCCTAGTAAGATACTGTGCACCACTGCCTGTCCGAGCACTGCCAAGGGCAGGAGAGTTTCAATCAGTCACATTTCCCCCCACCTGCCTCATAATAACAACTTCTGTGAACTGCCAGCTGACTGGGAGGCTGCAGGAACGCCTGTGAGAGGCATCTTGCTTTCCCAATTAGAGCGAACGCTCCAGTAAGGCACGGCACAACTTGCAGTGTTTTATGATGAAAGCCGCTGACATGAGGGCAGGTGTTCATTCTTCCCTTACACCACAGGGGTCCTACCAGTATCACAGACCACCACAAAACAGAAAACACTCTGGTCACTTTTTTTTCCCCCATTAAATGGAAATTAAACATGAAATCGTTTTTTGTTCACGTACCATCTGACTAAACAGTGAGCGATGGGTGGGAAATCATTGTTCATGCACAGCAAATCTTGCATAGCCACTGGGAATGCATCTGTCAAGAAACCAAAGAACGTGGTCACTGAAGACACCCCGCCTTCCAGCTACTCAAACATGAAGCAGCTGTAATCATGCATTCAAAACACCAAAAGGTTTTTTTAAAACAATCTGAAATTTACAGATTCGTGATTAATGGTAACCACAGCATCATAAAGCATATATCATCAATGATGTAAGTTCTTTGAACATCCAGGCTGTTTTCTCTGTATGCAGGAGGTCCATACCTTCTTCGGGTTCCTCTTTGCCCTCTCTGTCAGACGACTCCTGTTTTAGATAGTGATGGGTTATTGCGAATCTGAAATCCGCAAAGCAAATTTCCTGCTGTCTTTCTTCCCAGGTGCCACTTGTATATATTCCCTGGACAGAAAAGACAGAACATGGTTAAAAATCAATGTTTCAGTTGAGGCAATTTTCAAAGCAATTTCACAACCAAGGTGACTGTTCTTTGACTGAATACATTTTCCACCCGATTATCATATCCTAATTCATCTCTTTGCAAAATTGTTATTCTCTTAAAATGCTAAAATATCTACATATCTATTTAGTAAAATGCTAAAATGTCTTACTTCCCCTCTTTGAGGCACCCACACAAAAAAGAAAGATTCAGCTCTGAGGAATGTGTGTAATCAATGACCGACTATAGTCAAAGTGCCTTTTAGATAGATTTGACAGCCCCCGACCTTCAACATGCTCAAATGGCAGCTGAAGTGCGGAAGATGAGAAAAGCACTAACTCTTCCAGACATACCACGCTCAGGCAAGCTAGAGCCTTTTCTGAAGGCCTTGTACAGTAAGGCTGTGGCTCACAAACCTCAAACTGCACTGGAATGGGAACTTTATTTCTGTAACTAACGCACATTTTAAAAACTTCTTAAATGGGCAAAATCGTTACTGACAATTTTGTTTTTAAAATAGAACTACTTTTTACAAGCATCACTATCAATAACATTACATTGAATCTAAAGTACAATCACACTTGTGCTTACCTTAAACCTTTAAAACATTGCATCAAAAGTCTAATGTTCACAAGCTAGACGTCTAAAAAACAGCGCAAAGGGTATTTTGACAACTGTGTGCTCTTCCAATTGTAAAACGTAATCTTAAAAAATAATGCAGTATGTTACAAACAGACATTGTATAGCTAGACAGTGCAACAAACATCTGAGCTGCTACCTTCTCCAAAGGCTTCCCCACACTGCTGCCAATCAGCTTCCAGTCATTCAGCACCTCCTCCACCCGAGACACGAACCTAAAGACAAAGGTATACAACACAAATTCCAAAACACATACTGCCTTCTACTTCAGTACTTTATAGTAGTGATGAGTTTTACACTCCAAGCCCACAATGAACAATTTCCAGTGCTATGCATTAAGTGCACTTATTTCTGGACAAATATGAGGAAATCCCACATCATGCAGTAAGAAAAGGAGGTTCCTCCATCAAAGTTAGGTATGTGTCAGAAACCCTCTGCATGTTCTTGTGCAAATGGCATGACAGCGGACAGTTAAAGAGGAGATTACATATGAAATTGAGACAAAAGACAAGTCAGAGTTAATTATGCCACAAGTAAACTGCAAAGCTAAATCAGCTTAAGCAAGTGTAAAAACATGAGAAGCCACAACACAGCAAATTTTCTAGTGTAATCCTTAAGGTGCTATAAAACATAAAATACACTCAAGCTCGATTTTTAGAGATTGAGCACAGACATTGAGATTACAACTTTTAATTTACTATAAATTCCGCTATAGGCTCAGTAAAGATCGACGCAATTTCCACGAACATTTGGAAGTGAAAGCAGCTTTAAAACCACACATTTCATCAGGGGGTTCTTGGGCTTGGATTTGTTCCTGCATTGTCAAGGCATCTCCTGAAGTTCTAGCTGTGAATGAGAAATACCTCGTGCACAAATTATATGTGAAACTTTAAAAGATGAATTTAAGGACTAAAGGGAAATTAAACAGGGCTGCTTGGTGGTGCAGTGGTGCACTGCTGCCTCGCACGCTATCTGGGAAAACTGGCCCTGGTGTGAGTGTGTGGGTGTCCATGTCTGCCCCACAGTGGGCTGGTGTATCTGGCCCTGCACCCGTTGCTTGCCTGGATAGGCTCTGGCTGTCCCTGCAACCCTAAACTGGAGAAAGTTTTTCGACAATGGATGGATGGATGAAATTAAACAGCACTTCAGGCAATTTTCATGTAGGGAAAATTGTGCAGCACACACAGATAATGCCCAGCTCAACCGATAAGCTCAATAAAATAATGAAACATTCACAGAGCGCTGGTAAAGGTCAGCTCGCACCGTGGGAGGTTTTTAATCTGCGTTTCCACTTGACTTGTGGTCGGACATGTTCTATCTCTCCTGCCAAGATAAGGCTGTTTCCTCCACCTGCGTGTGGTCATTCACCAACACACAATCATCTGCTTATTTCCACAGGTAAATGAATTGTGCTGCAGCCTGTAAACAGCCAGGTCAGCTCTGGCTAAGAACACATGGCAGACATGTTCAATCCAGAAGCAAAAGCTACAGTCACAAGGAGACTAACAGGGCTAAAATCTCCTCGGTAATCGCTATTAATGTGCGGAAAACGCTTTCGATCTGGTACCTGGCCTCTGTCTGGCACGTAATGTTCTTAATTTTTTTTTAAATCAAACTCAAAGAGAATTTTTCAAGCACTGACCGTGCCTGCGAAGAGCAAAACAAAAAAAATAAAATAAAACAGCTTCCTCGATGAGAGCTCAATTCAAGGTCAGCGTCATTCTGCAGAAACAAGACCCGCCGGAGCCGCCGCTTTCGGGGACACGTCGCTAAGCAAGCCCTGCTCCTGCCCTCATCCCCTTCTGGCACTGGGCAGTGCTGGTCTGTGTAAACAGTTACAAACTTGTGTCTCAAGCGCATTCTTCTCCCCACCTCCACCGGCAGAGAGAGAGGGGGGGGAAACCGATTCGAAACCGATGACAGCACGTCTATGTACTGGCAGTGCATGCTCCTCGCCATCAGTGAACTAGGCAGGGTCACTGTTGCCGTGGCTGCCCTGTGAGCCCGCAGCTGTCCGGGCTGATGCGCTGCAGGCGTCACCACCACCCTACCTCTCCCACTCCGAGGCGGTAGTGAAGTCCGTGATCTCGAAAACCTCAGACTCGGGCTGTAACGACAACAACGGGAAAGCGAACTGCGTTAAGAAATCACACATCCAAAACGCGCCCGGTTGTCAGCGCTCTGTTAAATTTAAAACTGTTATTTTTGTCTCTTCTGCTGGGTCTGAGTGCAGTTAGCGAGATACTCACGTCACTGTCCGCCGCCATCATGGACGTCACTTTGTTTTCCTGCAGCTGCATCATGGGAACTCCAGCGCCGTCCGCCAGCCCCGACTCTTAGGGAGCGTCAAGAAACTGCGAACCTTTTCATCGGGTTTTAACGGGCTCGGTACATGCCCACTGTGTTTTGGCAGGGATAAGACTCCCTGAATTTTAGATGTATGAAGGACGCAAAGCATAATTTCTGCGTTTTGGACTGTTTATTTTTTTATGTGAGCAAACGTCTCATTTTGGGGTGGCACACGATGTGTGGGTGTTGGCGCTGCTGCCTCACAGTTCTGTGGTCCTGAGTTCAATTTGTAGGGTGGCATTGCTTCTGCTGTTTGGGAGTTTGCATCTCTCCGTGGATGTGTGTTGTTTTCTTGTTCAACCCACAGTCCACAAACACGCTTCCACACAATTACAAGAATCCAATCTCTGAAAGGTCCCGGTTTGAGTAGCCTGCAATAGAGTAATTATTCCTTACAATAATTCCATTACTCCCATTGCCTGCCAGGCTAGACTTCACCATTGTTTTGGTTTATCTTCCTTATGGCTATATTTTCTCTAGTTCTAGTGATGTTTTACCCATTATCGCCACTAGATGGCAGTAAATAGAAAGCGTTGTAAAATTATACAGCACTGTTACTAAACACGGCTGCAGGCGTCCTCTGAAGTGAGTTGCATTGTCCAGTAGGCTGAGAACATGTATGTGTGTGGTATAAAGCCAGACAATTTTCCACTTCAATGCACGGTGAAATTTCCCTGTGATCTTGACGTAAGGTAGCCAATGACAAAATGTCAACTAAACCTAAAAAGTGTTGAAGCTGATGAGCTTCACAACTCGGCTCCCCTTTGACCGCACTGCCGAAGAACTTTCGTCTAACAGCCCTTACAGTTAAATCATTTTTACTATGTCTTTATAGTAAAACATTTTCTGCCACCATTTTCAGGGTGATGTTTGATAAAGGTCTCAGGGGCTCAACAGAACTAAGGAAACACGAGACAATCGCTGTGATTGAAGCATATCCCCTATATATAACAGGTTCCCACTACACTCGTAATAAAGCCTACTTCCTCTTAGTCTTTGCTTTTTGTTATGTTTTTAAGTCGTTTCCACAATAAAAGTAACAGGGCTTAATGTATGCATATGCTTTCAAAATGAATTGAAAATAGTGAAAAATGCTCGTGCATTTTTTCCCTAAACACGTTAAAAACAGAGTACTGTAATGAGCTCATAGCAGGAGTCCTTGTGTACTAGCAGCCACTAACTGCTCGACTCCTTGTCGGTATGCCAGGCTCGCTGGCGCCTTGGCAACAGTATGTAAACTCAGAGCTCTGTTTTCAGGGAGAAGGCACGCATAG